CCTCGTCTGGCCTCCAGGCAGAACACTCGTCCACAGAAAACAAAATAAAATGTCTTTAGATGCCCCCCCCCATTGCAGTATTGGAAGCAAGGGGAGGAAAGGGAAGTATTGAAAACGTCCGGGTGGGACTGCTACTTTATGACCGTTGTGACGGCGATGGTCTCAGGGGTACAGACACAAGACAAAACTTCCCAAAGGCTAAATTTCAAATGATCCTACATCACAAACTATTCTTAAAGAGCTGGAGAAACGGGTCAGGGGTCACAAACACATGGTGCTCTTGCAGGGGAACCAAGTTCAGCCCAGTACCCTGCATGTTAGCAGCTCACAGCTGTCTGTAACTCCAGCTCCAGGGGCTCTGGGGCTCTCTTCAGGACTCTTTGACCCATGCATGCATGCACACACACAAATGCACAGGCACACACTACACACATGCATACACACACATACATGCATGCACACACACAAATGCACAGGCACACTACACACACACGCATACACATATACACACACTATACATGAAAGCACATATACACAGATACGCACAGAGACACACACCACATAATTTAAAAAGTAAAAATAATTTTTAAATTACAACTGAGCCTAGCACTTGAAAAGCATGTGTGATGCCTGGGGTTTAATGTGTGGGATCACAAAACAAACAATGAAATCGTAAAGAAAAAATAACTAATTAAGACTTCACTCTGAAAGCACAGAGGAGGAAAAGCTGTGCTATAGCAGTAAACAGCAAGGGATGGCTGGGTAGTCCAGAAAAGCCCTTGTTAGAAGCAGGGATGGCTAGGAAGTCCAGAAAAGCCCTTGTTAGAAGCAGGGATGGCTGGGGAGTCCAGAAAAGCCCTTGTTAGAAGCAGGGATGGCTGGGGAGTCCAGAAAAGCCCTTGTTAGAAGCAGGGATGGCTAGGAAGTCCAGAAAAGCCCTTGTTAGAAGCAGGGATGGCTAGGGAGTCCAGAAAAGCCCTTGTTAGAAGCAGGGATGGCTGGGTAGTCCAGAAAAGCCCTTGTTAGAAGCAGGGATGGCTGGGGAGTCCAGAAAAGCCCTTGTTAGAAGCAGGGATGGCTGGGGAGTCCAGAAAAGCCCTTGTTAGAAGCAGGGATGGCTGGGGAGTCCAGAAAAGCCCTTGTTAGAAGCAGGGATGGCTGGGGAGTCCAGAAAAGCCCTTGTTAGAAGAAGCCCGAGTCAAGCGTAGAAGGCTCAACAGTAATTTCCCAAGCAAAGACTGGAGAGGAAGAGCTCTGAGGAGAAAGGAGTGTAAAACACCCCCGAGTCCCAAATGAAACCCCAAGTGTAGGAGGGAATCGAATGTGTTTAGGAAGCCAAACAATGGAGACAAAAAAATAAACCAACTTCACAAATTTGAAATATTTAAACTGTTTTAAATTCTACTATGTGATTACATAATTTAATAATATAAATTATTTATTATAATTTTACTTAGAAGTGAAGACATACTAACAGAGAACATTCAATTTTTCACATTAAAGTTACTCACAGGTTCTCTATAATTAACAATAAATATTCAATTGCTTGAGGACTCTCAGCATCAGGAAGCTGATTTATCCCGGGTCATTTTTTGGCCCAACCCCCAAGAGCTCCTTCTGCACTCAGCATGGAGCGCGTTCTAGTAGTTTAGGCTTGGCACCTTTAATCCCAGCACTTGGGAGGCAGAGGCAGAGGATCTCTATGATTCTGAGGCTAGCTTGGTCTACAGAGTGAGTCCAGGACAGCCAGAGGTATATAGAGAGGCCCTGTCTCAAAAAGGAAGAAAAAAAAAAAAGAAGTTTAAGAAAAAAAATTGAGTTTTAATCGTGTATCTTCTGTTGATAGAAAACACCCTATGCCCTCACAGTGCATACTTATTTTACTGTTACTAAAAATAGAACTCCAGCCAGGTCGTGGTGGCACAAGCCTTTAATCCCAGGCAGAGGCAGGTAAATCTCTGTAATTTGGAGGCCAAACTGGTCTACAGATGAGTTCCAAGACAGCCACAGCTATTACACTGTGAAACACTGCCTCAAAAAAACAAAAACAAAAACAAAAAAGATTCCATTATAACTGTGAACTCAGAATCCAAATTTAACTAGCCTGAAGGTTTAAAAGTTATATATAGAATAAAGTTCATTATTTTTAAAATAGCCCAGTACATAAGTGCTTATAATGCTATATTTACAAATAATCCACATATAGTGAGGTATTTTCCAATCTATTACCAGAGATTAGAGTGGTAAGTACCAAAGCTACAATAAGAAGAAAATGTCTGTTTCAATACAAAATTTTGATTTTTATAAATAAAAATTCCAACCGCTCTACAAAGATAAGTTAACCAGCTTCTAATAGAAATATCATTTGTTGTGTAAACAGGTGAACTATAGCAGAATGTTTTCCAGCCTAATGTTAGACGATGCTACTCACATATAATTCCAATTAAAGTATACCGTAGTCTTTATTACACGTCAAGCCAGCACTGTGTTTCCTGAGTCTCACCCCGAAAGACTTCGGTCTAGCATTAGAGAAAAATGGGTGTTAATTCCGCTTTAGTTGTCAGGAAAGTCTTCTGACTTTGAATATTTTATTCTTTTCAAACGGAAACAAACCAAAGACTAGAATAATGCTGAGGGGTCTGAAGTATCACTTCTGGTACTGTGTTTGTGTACACATTTCCTCCCCCAGTCATCAGTCTTCAGATCTGAAAAGGCATTCACTCCCTAGCTGAAACGTACAGCAGAGAGACTAAGGTAACACACCAATCAATTATGAAGCCTGCTTACCAACTCAATCACTGTTCATGACTATGTGTAAGGCTGCTATCACTCAGCTTAGTAGACTTCCCGATATCTGGTGAGAATACCAAGATACCAAGTTCAGGTCTCTCCCAGAGGATTACGTAAATGCTAGAAAACAGGTCCTCAAACAAACCTTGCATAGCTAACAACGTACTTTACTGAGAGTAATTATTTCCTTCTAAATGACTGAATTCTTTAACATTAAATATACCTCTTTTGCTCCTAAATTTGCATGAAAAAACACAGATTTGTAGTGTCATATTTACCCTAAAAATTCGTATTTCATAGAAAAATCAAGTTGCATTTACAAGAGTACAATGAATCATAAGAATAACAGCTCCCCACAGATGACTATCCACTAAGTTCAGGACTGAGTTCAGGACTGACCGTCTATGTACGTTGAGGTCTACTCTCCTTCTACTCAATAATGTATGTGGTTCAGGAACATCTTCAAGTGTTATGTGGTCTACTTACAACTTGATCTGTGTGATTTCTCTTACTAAGTGGGACCGCAGCTAAGGGAAGTCACAGGCTGCTGACTTAGCTTTCACAAGTATCCTACTCAAAATGCAGATACTGGGCTGAACATCCCAGAACTACTGGATATCCTCTTTCGACAAACGGAGCAAATTCACCAACGCCCATTAGTTATATACCCATCAAACAATCTTCCTCTTTCGTAGAAAATATGAAAATTATTATAACCTTTTCATTTTGGTTGCTCCCAATATATACGGTCAAGATACTCTTAAGAGGTGAACAGCAGACAAAGGAAATCAGGCTATTCATGAGGCTTAATTCAATCAGGTCTCTTGTCTCAACGTAAACCATGTCTAAACTTTTCATTGCTACCGCTCTCAAAATATCTTAAATGCATTGTAAAACTTACGTATCAGTTTCTCAAACTTTTAACCCTGGAAACACATAGCCCTAAGACTCCAAACAAATTTTATGAAATTTCACCTAAGAGTCCCCTTGAAAACAACCAACTAAACTGTAAAGTCACTTAAGTTTTGAAAGTGTTATTTTAAAACAAACATCTTTACATTGACTAGGGGGCACTGTACTAACCAGCAACAGCAAAAATGTGGAAAATAGAATTATATATATATATTTATATGTATATATACTATGTATATATTTTTATATGTATAATATATATAACATTATATATATATATATATATATATATATATATATATATATATATATATGCTGTGTTAAAACTCCAAAGAAACTACCCTGGAATATATTATCAAAGTGAGCCACATCCTTACCTTTGCCTCAAAGCCTGGGACATTGCACCTAGATTTTACTATCATCTTCACAGCAAACACTAGTCACCTACATAATATAATTTCACAGCCACAAATCAGCCAGCAGTCTTCAAGTGACGCATCCAGGATACGCTGTCTAAAACCTGCAGGGTGCCAAGAGGGCTGCACGAAAGGCCTCAAAAAACTTCTCTGCCGACAGCCACCCTTCTCTCTACAGCGTGCCGAAATCTAATAAGCATCAACCAATAGGGAGAGAGATCTTGACCCCAGAGATTCACTCTCCTTAGCAGCTTCAGATTCAGAAAAACCAAACTGACTTTGACAACTGCCACAAGCAACTCAGCGCAAGACCGCCCCAACAAATTCAGCACCTTTACAAGAGCACGTCCTGGAATCGCGACTCAGCACTTTCTGTGCTACAAATGCTGCCTGGATCTCTCTCTAGGTAGACGCTGCATAGGAAGCATACGATTCCAGTAAGTTAGAGACTTGTGGGGAATGAATGAGAGGACCGAACCAGAGCTCATAACCAGGTATGGAACAGAGCACGCCCTTCTTAGACCCGACTAGACGGGAAGGAGCTGGGCCACAACTTTAAACCTTTACACTTCTCACAATGTTCCTGGGTTCTCGTGCGTTATTTGCACCGTTTCTGTTAAATTGGTGGAGTTTGGCACCGTGACTGTGAGTGAGAATGTTCTTTCTGCCCAGAAGATGACAAGCCACTGAGGACATGCGGAAAGGCACCGAGTCAGCCAGGGCTGGGCTCCCCCGGGCAGCCTAAGGCTGGAGGGGTGCAGCGCAGGACTTCTCCCGGCCTCTCCTAGCACTAAGAGCCGGGGACCCCGAGGTCACAGCAGGGTAGAGGGGGTGACGGGGGGGGGGGGGGGCTGAGGTTCTGGGTCCCGCGAAGGCACTTACTTGAACCTGCCCTGGCAGTGCTGGCACTGGTCCCCCACCCAGCCCGGGTCGCACAGGCAGGTGGAGTTGACACAGCGACCCGAGAAGCAGGAGCCAGTCCTCTCGCAGGGCTTGGACTGGGACACCTGAGCATAGAGCGCCAGGTAGAGGAAGCCATAGCACAGCAGCCAGCTGTGCCCGTCCAGCAGCAGCCAGGAGGAGGCGCCCCCGCCGCTCGCCCGCCGAGCCCTGCACAGCCCCGGGGCGGCCAGCTGCGGGGCACCCGAGCGGGCCCGGCCCCCCGGCTCCATCTTCCCGGTGCTCGGGCTACGCTCGCGGGCGGGCGGGTGGGCGCGCACGGGGATGCCGCTGAGGCGGGGATTCCAGCTGCAGACGACCTCGCCGCCGCCGCCGTTCCTCGGCTGCTCAGCGGCGCCGACCCTCGTCCCGCTGTCCCGTCCGGAGCGACGGTTCCCGGCCGCGGCGGCCTCCAATCGGCTGCCTCCGGTCACGCTCGGGCATCGCCGCCCGCTCTGCTGACCTTGTCCTCGGCGAGCCCAACCCCGCAGCCGCGGCAGCTCCGGGGAGCGGAGCACAGAGCCGGCGGCGCCCGGCGCTCCGGAGGGGACCCGAGGGGGAGGGGACCGGGCGGGGAGGGGGAGGGGACCCGCGCGGCCCCGCCTCACCCGCGACCCGCGCCAACTGCCTGGGCTCCGAGCGCGGCTCGCCCATGAGGGCGGGGCCGAGCGGGAGCCCCTAGCCGGGCGCATCCACGGCGAGCAGGGGGGATGGGAGAGAGGACAACAGCCTCCCGCCGCCTTCCAGCCGTCCCGAGGCCCCGCAGAAGCCGTCTTCCCTCCATTTGCTAAGGACAATTGCCGTGGCCGCTGCCACAGCCGGAGCTGGGGAGCGACGTCCCCGCAGCCACGCGCGATCGTGGCCGTCTCCCCCCTCGGTTGCAGCGCTGTGGTCTCGCCCGGCCCCTGACGGGGACCCGGGACTCCCCCGCGCGCGCCCACCCGGCCACCGCGGACTGGAGTGCGTCCCCCAGGTGTGGCCTGCGCCTGGAGCCCCACGGAGGAGATATCCACTCGGGCTTCCTCGCTTTGGTGGGAAAGCAGCCCTTGCACTCCTCGGGCTGCAGCAGCGAAAGTGCTGCGCTTGCCCTAGCGCTTTCCCAGCTTCCTCCGTGTTTCTTCTTTTTTTCTTAAAAACTCCCAACTCCACACAAAGAGCTGAGCATGTGCAGTCAGCAAAGTCTTAAAGGCACCGCGGTCGGACCACGTTGTGGGGTCTGCAGGGGCGGGGCGGGGTGGCGTGAGGGGCTGAGAGGGACGCGAAGCAGTTCCCGTGGGGCGACCTCAGCCGGAGCGCCCTTTATGGGCGGAATTGGGGCTCCCCCGCCCCCAACAAAGAACTGCGAGGTTCTGAGCCCGACCGCCACCCCTCTCGACGCTGCCTCGGAACCCTAAGAATCTCCCTTCTGCTTGTCAGTCTTCCCTCCTCCATCTGGGACACTCTTCCGTCTTGAAAAATATTGCAACATCGGGGCTTGTTTTTCCCCGCTTCAGAAAAGCAGAAATGATTCCCAGAAAGGGGCCCTTCTCCTTTTCAACGGCATTCTATTTCTTCCTGGAGATGACTTTCCAAGATTTGATGGCACAAGCTGAGATTCTGGGTCTCGTACTTTTGTGCCGTCTCTAAAGCGGAGCCCTTGAGAGGAAGCCGCGCACGAGCTGCAGCGTGTACCCCCGAGTGTGGTTGGAGCTCCACCAAGGAGCAGGCGGTAAGGCCAGGATGAAACTCACCAGACGTTTCTGACAGCTGCAGGAGAAAAGTTTTGTTGTAACCGCACAATCATAATATTGTTAAGATTCAATTCGAGTTTATTTTGGGAATAATGTACCCACGTCATCACTTTTAATCTCCATCATCCCCACTTCGCAGAGAAAATCCTCTATTAACCCCATTTTGCAGAAGAGGGCAAAGAGGGAGAAAGACTGAGGTGCAGGCTGGTAGCCAGTTAGGATAAGGACGGAGTTCTCCGACTTCTGCGAGTTTACAGTGTTTATCAGCCCCTTCTCGTTATTGATGTTTTGTTCTCTTTGGGTGAATAAAGCATGCGTGCTGGCTTGGTTTACAACTAGCTCGGCAGTGACTTAAGAGGAAAACAACGGTCCAGAAAAAAGGTTCCTTCACAACCCAAGAAAGGCAATGATCATCACTGGTACAAAACAAGCAAACAAATAAAACCAGTTCCCACCTCATATTCAGCCTGCTACTTCCTCACACAGCTTCTCCACCGCACAGTGTTCTTCAGAAGGCGTCAAAAGAACATTATCATAGGCCACCGTCTTTCTGGAATCTAATGTAGTCACTTGTAGACTTGTGGAAAGGGGCCAGCCTCTTAAAGCCTCCCGTGAAACTGAAGGTGAATCAAAGGAGACCCTGGAGCCTGCCTCTCGGAGAGATCACAGCTCAGCCACACACACACACACACACACACACACACACACACACACACGGACTGTAGTCTGTATCTGAGTACCAGATTGCTCATTAAAAAGACTCATCTTTACCACTTAGCCCTTGTGGTCCCCTGACCCTGAGCATGCCTCCTCTCACCGTTACCTCTAGAATGGAGTTGAATATATCAAATTCATATAAAATTATTCTCATAAGGATCACGTGGAATCCCTGTTTTCCCTGTGTTATATTTCTTCTTCTGATTGTTCCCGTCGACATTTTATGAGCGACTATGATGCATTTAAGGTTCAGGAAACAAAAGTGAACAGAAATGATGCCCACCTTTGTAAAGGCTTGTCTTCTAGCAGGCTCACGTCGTGTGGCTCGGAGTACACGTGAGGGTCATAGCCTGCGAATGTAAACCTAGAAAACTGACTTAAAATCGTCACACAGGGCAGGGACAGCGTCTGTCTAGCATCTTGGCTCATGTCTCAGTGTTTTTTATGATCAAGAAATGTTAAGACTTCCAGCTTCTCCTTTCTCCCCCCTAAAAAGTAGAGTCAGCATCCTAGCAGGCCAAACGCCCCCAAAGTAATTCGCAGTATTGGTGACAGCAGTCATGAACCTAGCAGGAAGGTAAGAACTAACCTGCAAGGGGAGATAGGGCAAACGTCTGCTTCACTGAAGAAAAATGAAATCATTAGGAATTAGTGGTTAAACACACACCTTTAATCCCAGCACTCAGGAGGCAGAGGCAGGCAGAACTCTGTAAGTTTGAGGCCAGTATGGTCTACAGAGCTAGTGCCAGGACAGTGAGGGCTGTTACACAGAGAAAAATTTGTCTCGAAAAGCAAAAAAGCAAAACAAAAATATTGGTTAAAATTTCTCCAAGAGAAAACATAAGCATATTTGCTCTCTCCACGGTTAACCTAATATCATGACCCTTGGATACTCGGGTCTCTATGCCTCACTTCCATTTATGGTGTTTAAAAATTTATAACACGATAGACAAAACCCTAAGACTTCTCATTGACAAAGTGTTCAAAGGACATTGAAATGATTTTTGTTGTTGTTACTCAAAAAAAAAAAAAAAGATCCTATTCAGATGAAAGCAGAACGTTCTCCATGGCTGCACTGAAGAGTGATCTCTCCTCTGGTTCCTGTTCGCCATTGACTCCGATGAGACGGCAGAAAGCTGCAGACAGCATCCTGAAGACTGTAAGAGAGGTTAGGTGGTCTCTGAGATTGGGCAATAAAGAAAGAGTCATGCTTAGATACTCATTAAAAGTTATCAGTGCTATTAGAGATATCTGTATGGCTATAGTCTGAAACACCGCCCTCCCCATCACCCAAACCTAACATTCTGCTTCCCCTTGGACCCGTTATTTTCTCCCATTCATCCCTCTTGCTGACACACTTGGAAACACACATACCACTTCTCCTACTGCCAATTTTCCTACTTAACACATTTCAAACATATTGTTGTAAGTAAATCAGAGAAATAAATCCAAAGATTTTAAATTCACTATGCTGAGCTAATATAATTTTTTAATTAAAAAAAATAAAATGAGCATTCTTAAACTTTTCTTCCAAATTATTCACGTGTGCTACCCCACACTCTCCCCACGTATTAATTGCCAAGACTTCATTGTAGAAATTGGTCTTTTGTGAAATTTAACTTTTAAGGAAAACATAGGCTGTGACTCCTATTAAGGAAAGAGGACCAGGAAAGTATATCCATCTACCTGGGCACGGCAGTGCATGTCTGTAATCTCAGCATGAGAAGGACGAAATAACACATCTCCAGTTCAAGAGCAGCCTGCGTAATATCTCCTCCCTCTACAAACCTCACCTAGATGAGAAGAGAAGGTTTTGTTCCTGTAACTGGAAGCATCTGTGCTTTGTTTTAGTTTTTAGAAGTAGCAGCTCACAGTGACAAGGAAAATGAGGAGAGATTCCATTTACAGATCAGAGGAAATACCAATGAGGGAAGCAAGCAAATGGGAAAGGGGCAATATACAAGTCTGCAAAAGTGAGTCTAAGAGCATAGGGCAGCCTCCATATGGCAGAAGGATTATCACAGAAGGCAGAGTTGGGATTCTAGGAGGAAAACCAAGGAATTGGTGAGGGCAAAGTATGGAGTCTTAGCCCCTTCCTCACCCTTAGTAGGGGCAGACTACCCCAAACCCAGACCAAATAGGAAGTTCAGTCTCTAAGGGAATAAACCAGAAACCAGACTTGCAACACCAGCAGACTACTAGGCATGAATTAGGCACACAACTGAAAATGTTAAAAGCTAGTGGAAATCTACATTTGAACTGCATAATTTCTTACTAGTTCCCAGAAAATCTCCAAAAAAGCTAAAAGATGATTATGCAGAACTGGAAGAATTCCAAGACAGAAAGATACTGTCATCTGGAGTCACCTAACCAGATGACAAGTCTCTGGCTGATCCTCCGGAAGTCTGCTAGGCAATAAGCCCTACCCTGATGTACTGTTCATAATTCTTTATTAATAGAGACAGCAAAGTTTCACAAGGCATAAAAAATAGAGATCGGAGGCAGGGAAAGGAAGAAGGATATTAGAAGGAATGAAATGAAGTAGAAATCGAAAAATTTTGCAACCAAGAACTGGAAACTTGTAAAGGTGAAAACAGGGGAACACAACACAAAAGCAACAACAAATAAAAGGGAGTAACTAGAAGGTGAAATGCGGAAACTTGCGTGGAAATGCAGCGTGCGTGGAAATGCAGCGTGGGACATCTGCAGACTGGGGCAGGACAGAGCTCCACTTAGTTTTCCTTCACTTTTGTTGTTGACTGTTTGTTTTGTTTTAATTTTCAGTGTTTCTTTTAAAAGAAGATTCATTTACTTTTATTTTATGTGTATGTGTGTTTTACCTGCTTGTGTGTGCATCATGTGTGTGCCTGTTGCCCAAGGAAGCCAGAAGAGGATGGAGCCATAGATTGCTATGAGCCATCATGTGGGTACTGCAAACTGAGCTCGGGTCCTCTGCAAGAGCATCAAGGCCTCTTAACTACTGAGCTCTGTCTAGCCCAGTTTTGAGTTTTCTTAAAGACAGGATCCCACTCTATAGCCCTAACTAGCCTGCTCTCACTATGTGGTCCAGGCTGTCTTCCAATTCATAGTAATCCTCCTGCCTCAGTCTCATGAAGGCCAGGATCACAGATGCATGTTACCACACCCAGTTCCCACTTTATCATGAAGAGGGAAAAAAGATTAAAGGAGACCATAATGGTTATGCATAATAGATACTAAGAGCTTTAACGTGAGTACATCATTGCTGTATTAGCACATTCGCCCACAACATACATAAGAGCAGAAAAAAGCATTTTATTAGCTCATCAAAATATTAACATAAGGAAATTGTCCAGAATTTTTCTGAGCCTCTAGATTCAAGACTCGACCTAAAACACTAAGTATCAAAGTCTCATAAATTGC